AAATTAATGTCCCCTACTAAATGAATTAGGGTTATTAATTGGTGGGCTCGAAGAAGCAATGGAAAGTGTTTGATAGTAGTTATCAAATGAACTCCCAATCATATACTTCTCGGCCGCATTCATTACTTCGTCAATCTTAAAAGGGTCTTCCTTTCGTCTATCTGACATAGAAGTAACTGATACATGTTTCACAACTGTTTCTAGCACGCCTCTCCTTACTTCGGGAGTCATAGGTGCCAAGAACAATCTTACTGCATCACTGTTTGTGATCATTTTCGGTTCATCCATCAGCTTTTTCATTTCAGCATCGAAGAGGAGTCTGAAGATTCTCATCTTCTCCTGTTCACCTGCATCAATTGGATTAAATTGATGGACCAATTGTTCAAGCAATAATCTAGATCCTCTTTCGTCTCCTACAGATTGCGGAAACATATTCTTTAGATCCTTTTTAAATTGATCCCAATTCGGTTTCTTCACCGAATCAAAGACTCTTAATGCTTGTCTCGTTTTATAAGACGTCCATTCTAAAGCTAATCTCACTTTAGCCTCGTCAGATGTAATTCCTCCATGTTCAAATATGCTTTCAGTAGCTTCGAACCACGGTATCATTTGACTTGGGTCAGTTATATCGAATAATGGTGCTGTCTTATACTTCCTTGGAAGTTTCGCACTGGCTTTATCAATCTCAGCCTTAGCTTCAGCTGACAACGCAGGCATTCCATAATTATTGGTAGTCATTTTGACTGGTTCAATCGTATTACTTGTTTGAGAGATAGTCTGATGTAACGTATCTATCAATCTAGTTGATTCAATCGACGTAGAAGATGTTGAAATTGACTCTGGAGCAATCAATTCAATTATATCTTCTTCAATATCAATCGGATTAATTTCTTTTCTCTTCCTTTTCGGATCGAGATTAGATTTCTTCAAATTCCTCGGCAAAGATGTAAGTCTTCCTCGAGATATAGATGACCCTGTTCCTCTAGAAACAGAACTTTCACGCGATTCTTCTGTCGGTATTTGAGAAGAGGATGGACGACTGGATTCGTTCGTAGGATTTAATAGGGATGTTCGAGCTGATGTGCCGAACGTCGATCTCCCAAATACAACTCCTGCTTTACGATATTCTTCCGGTGTCAATACTCCTGCTTTCTCCGAATTCTTCGAAGTACGCGGTTTTCCTGATGAACTAATGTTGACAGTTCACAGAAATGGTATCACAAAGATCAATACACTTCTACCAAATAATTGAATATAATCCAAACAAACGTTCAATTGAATTTATCAAGCTAATTGTAGCTTCAAAACCACCCCTCGCGGTGGGCTCCAGATAACGAGCTTGCCTCGTTTTTGTGTGAAAGAGAAAGGAAGGAATCTAATGGGCACTCCAACCAACCAATCTAATACACAATATGCGAGTTCACTGCTATCAAATTTATTTAATAGCAAGGGGTAGCGTTGGCAAAGGTTCCGCAAAGCTTTGAGAGCTAAGTACGAAGCTTTGATTAATCAATTTGAATCGTTCTAAGGATTCGATATATTCCTTTGATCAAGGTAGATTCAGCACGATTTGTGCTTTGGTTTGTATTGATTTGGGTATATCAAGAATTGGGGGTTTGAATCAAAGTAAATTAAAACCGAAACACACAGACCCCTACAGAGGGCTAGAACTATGTGCTGGCACAACCACACAGCGTGATTTGCCCTTAAGACCAACGACTGATCCTAAGTTCGAAGAATACCCAACAACTGGATATACTTCTCGCAGTCACAAGGAGCAGAACACGACGTTCCTATACTCACAAGTGCCGGGCCCGAATGGCTGCTAGCGAAGAGGTTTCAGTCTGGCGGGAGTGTGTCTTTCCTTTTTACGGATTAGCACTGCAACGTCGTCCCAAAATCACTTGTATTCCAGATACATCGGATCGCTATTTATACATACAGAATATAGAGTCGCATAGTACAATTAATTTAAAACAATAAACGTTCGGAACCGCAAGGAAACTTCTACACTCAATCAGATACCATTTAATTTGAATCTACATGTCCTTATTTGGTCCATATTGGTTCCAAGATTCTAGTATACCTCCAAACATAGGTAGGTACTTCAATATTCATTTAATTTAATTGTTTTTGGAGGATGACTCGAATGGTGTTCAACTGTCATTGCTGTTCAACACTTACTTCGATCGTTTGTCACCTCGTCCGGAGGCAAATCAGCTCTCCTCGATTCTAATCCTATCAATCTGATTCATCTGGATTAAACTAATTGCTTCTCTCTTTCAATAGACACCCATTGTGCCTATACTCAATCAAGGGAGTTACACATAGTATTCATTTAATTGCATTCTTCAATATTTTCTACGTCAGGACTCTTTGACATTCATTTGATATGTCTTCGGAGCCTCGCAGTACTTCGATCGTTCTTCTAGTCATTTTCCTTAACCATGCAACTTGATTGGTCTATTAGACTAAATCGCAGTCTTTTAGATTAATGCATGATCTTGTTCTAGAAGGAGTATTTGATCATTTCTGAGTTCTAGAAAGTCATTTTGAGTCAATCCTTGGTTCATGGTCACTTGAGTAAGTTCTTCCAAACTCCTGCCAGTGTAAGGTCCAATAAGAATACCCTTGGTATGTCATACGTGAATGGTCATCCTTCGGATGTAGTCCGAGTCTGGTATAATCCTGCTTGACAAACAGGTAGACTGCTATCCGAAGGTAGTATCGGGGATGGGTAAACTAACCAACTTGTGGTAGTATGGGTATATGGTCCCTTCAACTTATTAGACTGATTCAGTATTGACTTTGACTGTCAATCTGGGTCTCAATTTCAGTCCTCTCGATACAAATCTATACGTGAAAATGTCACAATTCACAATATAGACGTCTAGCCAAAATTTAGGCGTGTCAGCGGTGAGGCAGAGTGACTAAGCAGGGCAGCAAGGCGGAGCGACTAAATGGAGCAGAGGCAAACTGGTCCCAGATAATGACAGAGAGGTCAAGATAAGGGACCAGGCTGTGAGGGATTGGCTTTATATACATAATCCGATCTGTGAGAAATGATGATGTAATACTGTACAGTTTAGGAACAAGGAAGGTGGCGGAAGCCAGTAGAAGGAGAAGGGTAACAGGTGGATCAGTAATCGATGGGATTTGACAGTGATGTAATTGTACAAGTAAGGGCGTCGAGACGGTGAGAAAAGGAAAATGATAGGGGCTACGTACTTCATGACACGCTGTAAATACTTGGAGTATGTTTCATGAGTGACATTGACACCTACTGTTATCCCTATCTTACTTAGCAAATTGCCTCTCCTTACCTCTTGGAAAGACAAGGATATTAATGATAGTATAACAAAGGTGTAGTGTTGCTGCCAATTGAGTCGGATTGAAACTTGAGTCCTCGCTTAGCAAACTCGAGTTGAACGCAGATGCAACCCGAGTTCCCACATGAGGTTTCTTAATAAGGTATATAGCCTTAGCCTCAGTAAAATGAAATTTTATAGATATCAAGGTGGTGCAGCCACTTTGTAAGGTACTTTACATGACTCTACAATAATACGTGAAACTTCTGTGACATTTCCACTAATCAATAAGTTACGGAGAACTTCAACATCGACATCAACCACACTCATGGACTGCATTTTGCAGGTTCCATCTGTGTTTTCCTCAGCCATTTTGGAGCCTTTAGCCACCCAGCTCTTCGTAAAGTCAAGACGATCATCACGATAGATTGCCTTCAAAACCTGAAGTACTTCCATCAAAATGGGAGACATACGGGACCTTCGATCTGCATCAGTCTCCTTACTGGCTGAAAAGGCCCGTTCACAAGGCACAGCAGATGCTTGAACTGTGTCAAGTCCATGCCTCGGGCCTCCATCCCGCCGCTCGGTACTCCGAAGATCTACCTTTATTGTAATCTTTCTCTTATTGTTCTTTCTCGCTACACATATCCTTTTGTTCTAGTCTCTCATTATTGTCTTTACTCTTTCGTTCTAGTCTCTCCTTATTGTCTTTTACTCTACCCTGCAGGTACTACTCGTATAGCTCCTAGTAGTTAGTCTGGCGCTCCGCACCGATGCGCCGTTCTGTAGATATAAATACTGCCTGTACGCTACTGTAGTTCCTCAGTTTAATTATCAACTTAGATCTCCCTTCCCAGCTTAACTCTTCTCTAAGTCTTCAGGCTCAATGCCTTGGAGTACTCTCTACTATAACCTTAGGACTTAGACGTTCTCTGGTTCGCTCCTCGTCACCGGCGATACTGCCGCTCTGACCTGGCTGCTGCTCAGTTCCTCTCTTCTCTACTCTCGATCTCCGGGGACTAACGGCGTAACGGCGGTGTTGTTAATAACTTCACTACTGTCCCACTCGTCTTCCGCACTTAGACACCTTGTGGCTTTGGCACGGTTACACGGTGTACATGATCTTAACAAACTGGAAGAACATCAAGTGCGAGCCGGAATAGGATGGGATAAGCTTTCTGGATAGATTCCTGTGTAGAAATGAGCACAAAGAATGACAACAACATTGAGAAAGACCAGCATACATTGTCCCAAAACCGTATCAAGTCAAATGATTTAAGTTTCTCGCAATCAGTAATAATACCTTCGGATAACCAGCGGGTGAATTCTCGTTCGACCGCTTCTTCATTGGCACCATCAATCTCATCTTCGGTGAGTGCTTGCGGGCCATCAGACGTGGTATCCGATTCTTCATTTGAAGTCAATGGCAGAGAAGAGAGCGAAGAGGAGCGGGACAGGATGGAAATTGAGGCTGAGTATTCATCGAGTGCATCTAGACCTGAGCACTGTGAATATGCAGCATCCGAACCTCCAATATCTAAAGATGCTCGGGTTGGAGTCACAAGATCGTTCTGCTGTTTGCAAAGTTCCTGTTGGTGTTGTAACATCTATGCACATTGAGCTTTTCATGCAACATGTTTTTAACAAATAAATACACGCACCACATTATGGATAGCCGCCTTGGCTTGCACAATCTCACTCAAACCCCAATGCTTTTCTATCCACTTGAGCTTTGCCGTTGGATTGATGACTATAAGAATAACTTAGCTAGACCAGGATGAGAAAATGAATAGAACATACACATTGCGTATGCATACATATGGGTTGATTGAGACTTATCCTGATACTCTTCAATCTTTGCCAATGCAGATGAGATTGCATGTGACAGATTGGGTAGGATGGCTTTCAAACCGTGGAGATTGGCAATCAACTGTTCATATAATGGGAGTACAATGGCTAAACAAGGAGTCTGTCACGAAGCGGCGGAGGCGGAGTGACTAACGGAGCGGGAAAGCGGAGCGACTAAGCAGAACGGTGAGGCGGAGCAACTGGACAAGGCAACAAGGCAGAGCGACTAAGCAGAACGGCGGCAGGCTGGTCCTGTTAAGATCATGCAACCCGTGTAACCGTGCCAGAGGTCACAGAGTGTCTAAGTGCGGAATACGAATGGGACAGTAGTGAAGTTATTAACAACACCGCCGTTACGCCGTATGTCCCCGGAGGTCGAGAGTATAGAAGAGAGGAGCTGAGTAGCAGCCAAGTCGGAGCGGCGATAACGCCGGTGACGAGGAGCGAACCAGAGAACGTATAAGTTCTAAGGTAGAGTAGAGAGAACTTCAAGGCAGTAAGCCTGAAGACTTAGAGGAGCACAGAGTGAAAGAGGGAATCTAAGTCGATAATTAAACTGAGGAACTACAGTAGCGTACAGGCAGTATTTATATCTACGGATCGGCGCAGCGGTGCGGAGCGCCAGACTAACTACTAGGAGCTATACGAGTAGTACCTGCAGGGTAGAGTAAAAGACAATAAGAAGGGACTAGAACGAAAGGGTATGTGTAGCGAGAAAGAACAATAAGAGTGAGATAACAATAAGGAGCAGATCTTCGGAATCCCGAACGGCGGAATGGAGGCCCGCGGCATGGACTTGACAGTATCCCCCTCTTAGGCTTGAGCCCTCGAAAGCCATTAATACCGGTAGTTGGTTAGTCACCAAGGAAAAAATTTCAAAGGCCGTCAGGATCGGGGATTTGGCCCTTCAGTCAGCAGGAAAATTTTCAAAAGCCGTTAGTACCGGGAATTGGCGTTAGTCATCAGTGAAAATTTTCGGTTCACCGTACACCCCGTACAACTCGAAGGAAAATTTTCGCTGGTCCGTGCGCAGTTTTTTGTCCTATAAAAGGCCCAGGGTTTTGCCGCTAAGGCCCTAACTTTTCCAAAATTTTCTAAGTCCAACCAGCATGTCGACCAGCCGCACCATCACCACCACCACCCAAAAATCTCCAACCGCCGGACCTTCGAGGTCGCGGCCTGCTCCTCCGCCGCCCATCGATCTCACCGTCCCCGAGGAATCTAGAGAAGACGACGACGACGATGTGGAGGAAGACGACGACGAGGCTATCCGGCGGGCAGAGGAGAAGGTCCGTCGGATGAAGGCCAGGAAGGCGGCGGCGGCGGCTAAAAAGAAAGCCGAGGAGGAGGCGGCTAGAAAGGCCGCGGAGGAGGCGCAGAGGAAGAAGGAGGAGGCAGCGCGGGAGTTGGAGGAGCGCCGGAGGAGAATGGCAGAGGCGGCCACCGCTCGTAGTCGGCGTGGCTCCTCGCCAGGAGGAAGTTCGGTTTCCCCACAGCGGCCGGTGGTGGAAATCCGAAAGGACAAAGGAAAAGGCAAGGGTAAAGCCCAGGTGAGTACTGATACCCTTTGATGAGAATCTTGTGCTGATTCTCCGGCTTATAGCCCGTTGGTGGGGACCCCGATGATGGCGGCGACGGGGATGACGACGACGACGACGAAGATGACAGGGCTCCCTGCGAAAGATGCAGGAGCAAGAAGATCTCTTGCCAGATGCAGGCTGGCAAGAGGAGTTCTGTCATTTGCAAACCCTGCCACGACGCCAAGGTCCGGTGCTCGTACTCCGGGCGGCCCTCAACGGTGAAGCGCGAGGGTGGAGGAACTCCGTACGGCGAGCGCCTGGCGGTGCTGGAGAGCCAGGTGGCTCAGTTGCTCGCTGACAACCGGCAGCTTCGAGATGGTCAGGTGAAGGCGAACACCTACCATCGTCACATGAACCGGAAGCTGGATTGGTTGGTTACGGAAGCCTCAAGGAGGAGAAGAACGCCACCAGAATTGCCGGAGGCTGGGCCGTCGGTTTTGCCGAAGAAACGACGGAGAATTGCGGATAGCGACGAGGAAGAGGAACAGAGGAGAGTAGAGCAGGAGGTTGGGAAGAAGAGGATGGAGAAGGAGAGGAGGAAATGGAGGAGAGGGAGGAAGAGGAGAGGAATGAGCCGGCGCCGAAGAAGGCCCGGTCGGAGAAAGGGAAGGAAAGGGAGGAGTAGTGTAGTAGTATCACGGACATCGGACCTCGGCCTTCGGCCATCTTCTTGTAACTTCTTGTCGTCCTCCATCCTGTTGTATAAATTCTTTTTTGGTTTTTTGTTTGTATATATAAAAAAATGGTAACTCGATTTGAAATCGGAAAGCGAATGGGCCGCGACGCGGCGGAAGAATTAATTAGTTCGAAGTATAAGTAGTTTAAGTGTGAAAGAAATATAAGTGAAATTGTAGATAGAAGGATGAGATTAACAATTAAGAGAGAGGGATAAATATAGCTTGTTTGGAAGATCGATCCACAACGACGAGAATAGCGGTAAAGCCATTCGACATTGGCAGTTGCTCAATGAAGTCCATGGAGATGGAATTCCATGGTCGGACCGGAACCGGCAAAGGCTTCAACAACCCGTAAGGTCGATGACGGCGAGGTTTGTTGCGCCCACAGATAGTGCAAGAGGTAACGTAGTCACGTACGAAGTCTCTGACCTTGGGCCAGGTGTATTGACGACGTACAGCTTCTAGAGTGCGGTTCTGGCCGAAATGGCCGGAGAGTGGATGATCATGGAAGTAACGGAGGACTTGAAGGCGTAGATCGCCGTGATTAGGAACATAAATACGGTCGTCAAGGCGTAGTAGCTTGTCACTACCTAAGCTCCAACGTTCATTGGAAGGATCTTTTGCAAGTTCCAAACCAACAACGGAGCTCGGGTCGGCGGGAAGGGCGAGGATGATTGCCTGGTGTAGGGCTTCGATATCCATGATAATCGAGGCTCGTAAAACCGGGCCTTCCAAGAAGGTAGCTCGAAGAGACGCAGTGAGTTGTTCGTTAGTAAAGATAGGACGGAAGTTGTGAGGGTTCACTTGGGCGTAGCCGATATCCCCCTCTTTAGGGTAGACGTCCCAGCGTCTAGTTATCGAGTCGGGTTTCTCGCCGAGTTTCCCCGGCCGGAAGCGAATGACCATATTAAATTGATGTAAAAATTCTGACCATCGGACCTGTCGGCGGGTGAGAACCTTGGTAGTAGAGAAATACTCAAGATTCTTGTGATCGGTGACGACGTCCACCGGATCACCCGAACCTTCCAGATAATGACGCCAAGCTTTAAAGGCCTCGAAGATGGCCAGTAGCTCTTTGTCGTGGGTATCGTAGTTGAGTTCTGCCGCATGAAGCGTTCTGGAAAGGAAGGCTAGAGGATGAATTTCACCGTCAGCATATTGGATGGAAAGAATAGCCGCAATGGCGTAATCGGAAGCGTCGGTTTCCACGATAAGTGGGCGATTCGGCTCCCAATGAGCCAGTATCGGCGCAGAAGTAAAAGCGATTTTGAGGTTTTCGAAGGCCTCTTGACAGCTGCTGTCCCAGATCCAGGGAGCGCCTTTTCGGGTAAGCCGAGTCATCGGCACAACGATATCGCTATAATTATAAATGAAACGACGATAGAAATTTGCAAAACCCAGAAAGGACTGAATGTCCTTGACCTTCCTCGGAACCGGCCACTCTAGAACTGTCTGAACTTTCTCTTTGGACATGGTTAATCCGTCGGGAGAAAGAATATAACCCAAATACTCAACAGTATCCATATTGAATTCGCACTTCTCGGGGTTGGCGTAAAGCCGATGTTTCCGTAACCGCCGAAGGACTTCCTTAACGTGTTCTCGGTGTTCTTCTGGCGTATCAGAGTAGATCAGAATATCGTCAAGATAGACGATGACACAGACATCGAGCATGTCAGAGAAGATGTCATTAACAAACCGCTGGAAAGCCGCAGGGGCGTTCGTAAGGCCGAACGGCATGACCTTCCATTCGTAAGAGCCGTAGCGGGTCCGAAAGGTGGTCTTCCATTCGTCACCTTCAGCGATTCTGACCAGATGATAAGCGTGAGCGAGGTCCAATTTGGTGTATATTTTAGCTCTTTTCGGAGCGTCGAGGAGATCTGATATGAGTGGGAGTGGGTAACGATCCTTTTTGGTGATACGATTGAGTCCACGGAAATCGACGCAAAGACGAAGTTTGCCGTCTTTCTTCGGGACGAAAAGGACCGGAGCGCCGTGAGGAGAGGATGATGGGGTGATGGCACCAGTAGCCAGCTGTTTGTCAATAAAGTCTTTAAGGGCGACTAACTCCTTTTCCGACAAAGGATAAATACGGCCGAGAGGCGGCGAAGCGCCTTCTTCCAAGTCAATCTTCAGGTCGTAAGGTCTATGTTCAGGAAGTGAATCTGCAGCAATCTCGTCGAAGACGTCTGCAAACTCCGCGTACTCTTCTGGGATAGAAGGATGGAGTGGAGGGACAGTAGGAGTGGCGGAAGAGCGGTCGGCGGCGCGGGCCGCGACCTCTGAGTGGATAGCACGAAGTAGAATCGGTTCCATACCAGCGTCCTTGCAAGCCCTGTTAAAGACTGCAGCACTGACGAGTGCAATGTCGACCTCGGGAGTTTCCAGTTGAGCAGCGAATTGAGAGACCGTAGGGTAAGAATAGATGGGTTCAAAGGGAAATTTGGACGAAAGGGGCTTGGCCCGTAAAGTCCGAGAGCGGGAGCGAGAGCGAGAGCGAAGTGAGTCCCCAGGAGGGGTCTCCAGAATTGTCGGTGAAACCGACGGCGAAGGTTCCGGTAGCGGAACAGCGACCTTTGCATCAACAGTGTTGGTGGCAGAAGGCACAGACGTCTGTGGAGAATCAAGGTGTGAAGTGTTACGGAACGTAATGTTTCGAGATGCCCAGTCAATCAACGGATTGTAGCGGGATAAGAAACTGTAACCTAATACTGCTT